TGTATCTCGATGTTCTACTTTTTTTAAGTATGACTGAGGAAAAAATGACAAGTCCTAATGTCTACCTTTCTTAAAAAAAATTACCTGGGTGAATTTGATGGGAAAAAAGCTCCATGGTATTATTGCACTTCATGAACGTGCAGAATTCCAAAATGCGCCAGCACTGAAAAGCTATCTTGCACCGAGGTTTTCCAAGAGGTTTGACGAGCCCGCCAAGAAAGTATCTGGTCTGTACTAATAGCTTGCTGTCTTCAGTACAGGCCTTCATAATGCCAGTCACGCTGCTCTTGCAAACATCCCTTAATGTAAAAGAGTTTTCAGTGCTGATAGGTGGGGCTCTGATCGAAGATGTGGGATGGAATCCACAGGCACACCAAACGCCACTCCATTGTCAAGAATTTGAGCAAGTGGTTGCTTGGATGGAAGGCGACCAGATTCCAGCTTAGACCATACAAGGTATACCATGTGAAGTGATCTCAAACGTACCTGTGGACACACGCTGGTTCTCAATCATGTTGGGGAAGAAGAAAAACATCATGCCTGCATAGACCTTATTTTATCGGCCCCACTGCCAAGTGCTAGGAGCTCCCATGCCAAAGAAAGCAAAAGGTAGCCGGGCGTGGTGGCTTGCGCCTGTAGATGCAGCTCCTTGGAAGACTGAGGCGGAAGGATCTCCTGGGTCCAGCAGGTTGAGGCTGGAGTGACCGTGAGCATGTTGCTGCATTCCAGCACGGGTGACAGAATGAGACTCCAACTCAAAAAAAGAAAAGAAAGTCAAAGGATCCATGCCAATAATTATAAGCCTATTAATACTAGCTTGAAGACTGACAGAAAAGATGCTATGTGTCTATATATTGGTTGATAGAGTCCATCTTCTCCTTCAATATGGGTGTCTGGGTACCACTGACTGATTACCTGCCTGTACTCCTCAAACACCCACCTATAACCTCAGGAAATGCAAATCTGGAACTTGAGCAGCGGCCCCGTGACATCCTGCGTCTTTAATCTCCTGTTGGGCATGCTGTCCAGGTTGACTAAGACCTTGCTCCGGACCACCTCCGAAGCCACCACTGGGAGAAACAGCAGAAAACTCATCTTAATTGAGCCAAGCGCTCAGGCTGCCCTCAGACTGAGATGGCTGAGCGTGCTGTTTTTAAGAAACACTGGCCCGGCAAGCAAATTTGGGTGTAGCTAAAACCTCCGATTGTTGAAGATGCCACTACAGCCCAAGCGACCACCGGAAAAAGAAGGCCACGGCCCCCTGAAATTGCTGGTTCTGGGTTGGGGGTTGAGGGGGAGAGGGAGCCAGAGATGCTTGAAGAACTTTACGGGTCCTTCCAAGAGGGTCACTGCGGCTCTTCCCTGGCCACATCTGCACGTCTGACATGCACGTCTCTTGGCGTAACATCCTGATGTCCAGAAAGAATCTCTGAGGGTGAGGGCTTGGCCCTGCTGGTCTTGAAAAGCCTTCCGGGTAATTCAACATTCAGGCAGTTGAGAACCACTGTGTGGCTGGTCAAGAACTCAGATGGGAGAGGTCCTGTGTCTAGGCTAAACCTGTCTCCCCCACTTCATAGGCTGTTCTCCTGTTTCTCTGTGCCTCAGTTTCCTCATACATAAGGTGAGTGTGATCATAGTCACCGCCTGGCAGTGCATTGTGAAGAGCACACCAGATGGGGCTCCCCCAGGGTCCCACACACGTAAGAGACCGGAAACGCCAGCTCCCACGGACCCCGCATCCAGCGCTCCTTCTCGGCCCCCCTCACCTGGAGCCCCAGCTCCCCCCACTTGACACTCCCTCCTTCCAGGATGGCCGGAAGCCCCGGGAGACCACGGGGTGGGGCGACCTCTCGCCAAAGCCCTGCAGTTACTTATCCCTGCCTCTGAATCCAGCATGAGCCAGGGCCGCCCAGAGCTGTAAAGCCCCTTAAGAAAGGTCCTTCGGTCCTGGCTTCCTGTCCGGGCGGGAACCTCCTCATGCAGCTGAGACCAGCAGGGGTTGATGAGCAAGTTGCCAGGACAGCCCTCCCTTCCCTGACTCTAAAACCTGACCCCTGGGTCTCAAGGGGTCTTCATCCTTTATTCGAGCGCAGGGATTAGTACTGTTCACAGCAGTTGCTTAAGGAGGGCCCAGGGCTGTCATTAACAACAGCCAGCATTTACCGAGCACTTCCTGTGTGCCACACACCGTGCCACTAAGTACTGCTTGTGAGCTACCTCACTCTATCTTCATGCAAGCTCAATGAGGCAGGCAGGTATTGTGCCCGTTATACAGAGGGGGGAAACTGAGGCTCACACAGGGTAAGTGCACAGCTAGGAAGTACCCGTTCAGCATCTTATGGTCCAGCTCCGAGGGGTTCCAGGCGACCAGCTGGAGGCTGGGTGGGTATTCTCCCTATCCTCAGGCCTGTCAAGGCTGCCCACTGTGCCAGAGGAACCACAGTGGGGTGGGGTGGGGATGGGTTGGGGAGGACATTCTCCCACGAGAGCCCAGGCCTCACCCTCGTCTCCTGGGGGTCTCCAGGCCCCAGAAGGGACAAGGCAGTGTGGCAGGGCAGCTGTCTGGGAAGGCAGTGGCCAGTGGATGTGACCTTTGTCCCCAGCTTGATAGGGGCAGCTTCCAGTGCTTTTAGGAGCTCCCAGGTATGAAAAGTTCCCAGCTGAGGGTCCAGGACTGAACAACACCAGCCCTGGAAGGGGGACGCAACCACATCTTTCTCCTGCTGACTCTGAAACTCGTCAAGAGGCCAAGCTGGATTTCAGAGGGGACCGTGCATGGTCCAGTTCGTGGAGGGCAGAAAGGCCAGCCTGGGCTCAGTTGGCTGTGGTGGCAGAACAGTGCCCTTCCACCGCCGAAGACATCCATGTCCTAGTCCCCAGGACCTGTGAAGGCATTACCTTCCTGGCAAGGGCGCTAAGGGTGTGGATGGAGTGGAGGTTGCTAGTCAGCTGATCTAGGGAGGGTAGGTTGACCTGAACCCAGGTGGGCCCAGCATCATCACAAAGGGCCTTGTAAGTGAAAGAAGGAAGCAGAAGAATCAGAGTCAGTGAGAGATGAAAAAATGCTACTGTACTTCTGGCTTAGAAGATGGAAGAAGGGGCCATGAGTCAGAGATGCAGGCAGCCTTTGAAGCTGGAAAAGGCCAAGACATGGTGGTCCCCTAGAGCCCCCAGAAGGAATCAGCCCTCCTAAGACCCTGACGTTCGCTCAGTGAGACCCAGGTTTCTGACCTCTAGAGCTGTAGGAGAATAAATGTGTGTTGTTTTAAGCCACTCAGATTGCAGTAACTTGTTATAGCAGCAACAGGGAGCTGATACACTGACATTGTCCTCTGCTGCTTGGACAGGTGGATGCCAGGTTCACATTTATTTTGCTTCTCACCTGCATTGGGGTTGGTTCCTCTCTGCCTAGCTGTCCCACTTACCTCTACTGAAGCCCAGGAAGCAAAAAAGTGTTCAGGGCTCTAAACTGCATCCACCCGGACCCCTGTGACCAGTCTGAGGGCATTGGGGTGAGAAAAACCTGCTTGTAAACTCTTCCCCTTCTCCCAGTTTCAGGCACTTGTCTTCTGGAGAGTCCTGTTTCCCAGCTTAAACCCTTTCAGAAACAATGATTTTTCTCAACATCCTCATGTGTCTCAGCAACCCTTGGCCGGGGCAATGAGGAGGAGGGGGGGACACTTATTTTGCCAAAATCCAGGCATGTGAAGGGGCAGAGACTGTTCTAGAGAATCAAAGTCAACTGAGGCAAGGAGGCAGCATTGGGATCCTGGGCATGTGCTCTAAGTTCCCGGAGGCAGCCCAGGCCTGGGACCAGCTAGGGTTTGTCTCTGCATTTCTCACCTTGGGAGGGTAGAGGGCAGGGGGGTGGTGTCCCTGCAGCGTCTCATGGGCGGGAAGGAGGATGCTGCTAGGGACACACAGCCTCCGCATGCTGCCCTCGCCCCTCCCACCACAATGCGACCTCCGGCCACAGCCCAGCCCCTGGACTTGCCACACTCCCATCCTGGGAGCTGGGCATTTTACCCCGGGCTCATCTTAGGCGTCTATATCACCAGAACAGTCCCTGGCAGCCCTAACTCGCCCTGTGGCCAAGACGGAGCAGTCTCACAGTCTTACCCAGATTTGGGCTCGTCAGTCCCGGATCCTTGGGGAACCAAGCAAGCTAACGTTTCAGCTTTTAGAAACGCCTCTCCCCTTGCTGTGCCCATCTATGCCCAGGGGCAGGTGAAAGTGAAAAGCCAAGCCATTTGTGTTTCTGTTGATTTATTAACCAGTGATGGAAACGCAGCTAGACCCATACAGAACACACATGTAGCTGACACACATCTTGAGGAATCCCGCCCCCACCCCATCCCCCTGCACTCAGCGGTTCATTCCCAGAGCTGTCCCGGCGTGAGCTGGCTCAGCGGATCTGGCCTCTCTAGCCCCCTCTCCTGCACACGGTGGGATGTGGAAATGCTGACCAAGGTCCAGCCAGGGGGTTCCCCTCCTGCAAGATGGGGCCAAGAGCAATGAAACATCCTTCTCCCAAAGGTGGGATTGCCAGGGTCGACCCTGTGTGTTATAAGGACCCTCTGCACCCCTATATCCCATCTTCCCAATAGCTACCAGTCTCCGACGCGTTCATCTCCAAGACATTCTGGAGGATTTGGGACAAAGCCGGATTTCTTTTTTTTTTTTTTTGAGTTGG